CAAATTAGGTTGAACGTTCTTCTTTTGTCCATAACGTAAATCCAGTTATTAGTGATTTTCATATGAATCCATATTTGTTGCTGATTCATTTTTGAAATGACACATCTTTCATGTAATTCTGTCTGGTGATTGAGTAGTTCAACTTCGCATTGAGCAACTTCAGATTTTTCGTTTTATATAGGATGCAACTTTCGGCCATAAAATTTGTTGACGTTAAAGGATAGGCAGTTTTTATCAATTTCTTTAATTAGATAGTATGAGTTATGAGCTAAATTAACTATGATATATTCCAATTATGAATCATCAAGTGTTGGTACCGGGATTATCTAGAAAATTTGATACAATTCTGCTTATAGCAGCAGAATTTTGCATTCAAATATGAAGCGAGATATTATTCGCGCCCGTATTGTCATTAATTTGTATAGTTGCAGAAGTTACTGTGTATTTCTGATTTCGGGAATGGACCTACCAGGCCGAATGTGACGTCTTTTGATGTACAATTGTTTCATTAAAACTTTTGGAGAGATTATAATGTGATGGTTAAGCTCTTGTTGTGATGATGTCATAGCATCTAACATTGAGTTTTGTCCTTGTTCTAGTTCGTCAATCATTAAAATAACTGAAATAGTGACAGCGACAAGAAAGTGTTCAGATTCTGTAGCATTCTAAATACTAACACTTAATCTTTTTGTCTCTCATCAGATAGTTTCTCATCAGGTCTTTTCATAAACATAGTATATCGCGATATATAGCGAGAACTGCTTTATATTTGTGTTCATAAACAAATCTAGTTGCTAATCAAGTTTGTTCGTAAACATTGTTAATCTATCACAAAAAAATTTGAATTACGCAATTAAATCAGCTGTACTTTTTTTTACTAGTTTTTGCAGTTTAGTTTCACATTTTTAATTGTTGATTGCTGTACTTAAATACAACAAAATTTATTTTTGTTTCAGTTTTCTTTTTTTTGTTTTTCTTAATTCTTATTTTTCCTGAAATAGAATTTTAATGACAATTTTTGTTCATGAACAAAACACTGCAAATTCAAAATAGCAAAAGTTCTTATACAACTGTCAAAAATATATTGCGTATCACTTATTGTTTTGCGGTATTGTGTTATGAAAATCTCTTATATACTATTTTATGTAATTAGTTATTTTTGGCAATATTTATATGACATGTATAAGAAAAGCGTTTTCGATTTTTACGATACCTGATTGACTTTTATTTTACGTATCCACTACGTATAGAAAGCATATAGGAAAAGTGTACAATGTTAAAACCTTCTACTAAAGTTTTTAAAACGTTTACGTTTATGCTATCAGGATGATGTTTTTGCTGTGAAAAGATAATCCCAAATATTTTATAGTACTAGATTTAAAAAGTATCAAATAAAATAAAAAAAATGCCTACGAAATGTAGGTACTTATATCTCGACATTTATTATCTTAATTAATCGGTGATTTTACTAATGATCTAGGTTTGTATTTCTATAATTATTGTTAATTATCAATCCCCAGTGTTCAATTGCAATCAAGCTAAATTTGTAGAGAAAAGTAGAGTACATTTAAAAAAAAGTAAGTCTATATTTGCATAAGACTTTAAAAATACAAAGATAAATTTCTGCTTAAAAAGTCAATTTTGAGATACCAAATATAGGCGGAACATAAGAACATTTATACTTTTCTGTTTATTTTCTTATTCTTCCTTTTTTTTTTTAATTTTTTTTCATTTTTTAACAATTTTTGGTGTTTTATTTTGGTATGGCTGTATACATTATATTATTCACACATTTAGCACATGTAGATATACATATATGTATATGTATCCATAAACATCTTTTTATAGGACTTCGTTATACCACAAACATCTTTATTCTCAAGGCTTCGTGATACAGAATAGACTAATAAATACATACGGTGTATTCAAAATTAATGATACTCTTTGTTAAGAAATATATTCTTATATTAGGTATTTTCGAATAAACTAGAAATGTTCATAGTCATTTAGGTTGTTTGAAAAATAAAATCGATTAAATACAAAATATATGTGTACAGAAATTATTTTATCCAAAAATGAAATTTCATGTTCTTACAAACTAGTTTAATAAATTGTAGGTAACAAAACAGGTTTTAGGTAATTTGTTTTGTTTTTGGCGTAAAACAAAAGTAGTATACGCAATAAGAATTCTTTTTGAAAAAAATTTTTGAATTCACTTTTTTAATTGACTACATAACATAATATTTACATAAAAATATAAAATTTTGAATCCATTTTTCTTAAAGCTAATAATATGCTTTATTGTTACATTCTTCTTTTCTCGTAGACTACTGTTTCTTATAGAAATGCAACCTTCGACGCTACATCTTCGGGGCATTTCTATTTATATAAATCAAATATATTATTATATTATATTTAAATATGCATACAATAAAAACTTTAAAAAATACGCAAAATCTTACCAATTTATTAAGCAATTTCTCTTTTTAATAAACTTAAGTATTACTCTTTTAAAAGCACCTTTATTTTATTCTATAAATATTATGAACAAAAGACAAAATTTAATTAATATAAACTATAAATCTTCGATATATTTAATATCACAAATAATAAATATTCACTAAATTTAAATTTAAATTAAATTTTAAACAACAAATAAAACTATCCGTGACTTCAATAATGCTTTAAAAAAAGATTTAAGTATGGTATTAATACGGTTGTTAATGTCTTTATAATGTCTTTATATCTAACAAGTCCCAATGCTCAGAGAGAAACTTGAAAGCACGACTTTATTTTATATGGGTTTTTTTAAATCGAAGTGGCTATTTTTTGAGAGGAAATATTAAAATAAATTCACACTTATTATAAAACAGGTAAAATTTAAAAAATATATTTGAAAAATCAAAAAAATATATTAATATTTTCATTCAAAATTATTTTAAAATTCTTGAAACAGCGGAAAAACAACAAGCACAATCTTCGCCTTCAACGTTTTATATGTTACTGAAAGCATTTCATTATTTTTAAGTGAACAGCTTTTTTGTCTCACAGGGTAAGTTAACTCAGGATATGGGAAGTAACTTTGGTGTCAAGTTGAAAATATAATTAATGAAAGATAATTATTGAATATTGATATAAATACATAGTAAAGAAAAAATTTGAAAAGGGAATTAAAAAATAATATCTAAAATACAATCAAATGCAAATTTTATATATACTTCTAAATTTTACCTCTATTTTTGAGAAAAATTTTTACAACTTAATATATTACCTAAGTAAAAAAATATTTAAAAGGTTTTGGAAAAGACAATAATATATTTTTATGACCGGATTCGAATATTCTTTTTATTTTTGAAATAAATATTATCCGTGACTTCAATAATGCTTTAAAAAAGATTTAAGTACGGTATTAATACAGTATTAGTACCATCTCAGACCTTTCAATACCTTTACATTGTAAAAAAAACTACTAAAGCTTTTGATACATTTTGGAATACAATTTTTACCATATCAATACAACTTTGACATTTGTTTAAAAATTTTAATTTAAAGTTCTTTGCAAATGTAAATTTTAAAAAAATGAATGTGTTCCCAAATATTGTTGTAAATAATTCAATTGATTTTAATAGTAGCAATCAATAATTTTTTCCTATCCACGGTCCATTTCTTATTACTGCAAAAATTAAATGTTAAATAAATACTACATTTAATGAATTAAGGTATAACTTACTGCTCTTTTTCCATTTTTTTTTCAAATTTTAAAAATAACATATACGTGAATGTTTTCAAAAAACTTTTTTGTTTATGAGTTTGAAATATGACAAATGACACTAAATTTTGCATAACTAACAAACGTTACCACACCACTGGAAAAATAGCATTCTTATGCTTTATTTTGGAAAAAACTTGATAGCTACCACTTTATTGCTGAAAATATATGCTAGTTTATTTTATCGGTTATTTCTGGCAACATTTATATGACAAGGTATAAGAAAAGCGTGCTCGATTTTTTCGATACCCGATTTACTTTTATTTTACGTCTCCATTACGTATAAAACGCATTTTGGAAAAGTGTACAATGTCAAGAGCTTTTAGTAAACTTTTTGGAATTTGATACTTTGTACAATTTTACGTCTTAAGCGCATTATTGAAGTCACGGTATCTTAGCAAATGAATCAAAAACATACACAGGCAAGGCCATTTTATAAATAGATTGCTCTTGCTTACCTGCTAATAAAATATGAAAGAAGAGCACAACAAACTTTTTGAAGCACTCAATATAACATGTTTGAAACAATTTTAAAATAATTATTTGAAAAAAAATTTATTGGAAGTAGGTACATACATATTTATTTTTAATAACTTAAAAACTAACTGAAATTATTTGAAACAATCCCATAAGTAACGTATAAATAACCGAAATGAGATAATTTAAATTGTTGAAATGTTCACTTTTATTAAAGTTTTTGTTAGCCGACACTACTCAACTTACCTTATTGGGAAATACAAAATATGCATGAAAAATCATACATCCTTCCTCATTAACATTTGAAACCATACTGAAATATGAATTTGAATTTTTTTTTTCATTTTTTCTTTCCTCCTACCTTTACCAATGGAATTTAAATGGGAAGCTTTTTAAAAAATGTGTATATCCCGAGATTTTTTAAAATAAACTCTTTTTTACGTAAAAAACAGAAAAAAAAATAAGAAATATAACACGATCAGTAGCATTTAAAAAAAAAATAGGAGCGAAGCCAGAAATTCGTAATATTTCGTAAAAAAATTGAGTATTGGGACTTGTTAGATATAAAGACATTATAAAGACATTAGTCTTTACATCTTCCAAATTTCCGTAAAACTTCCAAAATTTTAAAATTTTTTGTTTTTTACTTATTTCAGGCATGCAATAACATGCTCACATAGCAATATATGTATACACATACAGTTAAAGGCACACTATCATTTAAGGAAATATCAATAAGTACATACGACTAACATATTTTTGAAAGCAAAATAACAACATACATTATGTATATTTGTGTACATATAATACAGAAACATATACATTTTATATTTAATAAACATTTGCTTACACATATCAGCACAGTCTATACCAACATAGCTTATCTATTTTTTGCTGTACAATTGTTTTTTAAATTCTATATTATAGAATATAATATATTATTAAAGATTATTATATTCCAGTGCATACTCATAATTCACAGAGAGTAAATTATTTTTGTTAATGTTTTTACATGTGATACTTTATGTTCTGCCAATGTTTGGTACCCGATTATAAAAATTGAAAATTTTTTTTGTTCGTGTTGAACTATTTTATATTTATAATGTCTTTGATATAATGCATAATTAAGAAGTAATTGTTATCATATTCCGGCACTTAAAAAAAGTTGATATTAATGCAGTTATTTGAGGAATTTCCTTACAACCTTTAGATAATCTTTCTTCCATCTCAGATATCTTAACAATTATCTTGTTTAAAACATTTATTGGAATTTCCACTATAAATATATTTCATTTAATGAAAATATTTAATTCCTTGTACAAGTACTTACTCCTCATAACATAAAGTTGTATTTCTACTAATATATCTTCGAGAGCGAGAGCTTTATCAGCTTTTATTTTCGTAATTTCTGAAACAAAAACGAGTTTATTCCTAAGATTTTCTATATAACTCCAGCTATATTTACCATTATAACATTTCTCAAATTCAGTTGATGACATTAAGGAAAGCAGAATCCGTTCAATATCGCTTCGAAGTGGATGTCCAACACATGTGTAAACATTAATTTCGTTAACAATATCAAATGCCATAGAAGTGCTTTGCAATGTATTAACAACTTTTCGCATATCTCCTTTGGATAAAGCAAGCAAAGCTTTTTTCCCATCTTCTGTCGCTTTCAGTCTAAAGAAAAGAATAATGAATTAAACTAATTTAGTTTTAATAATTTAAATTACAAAGGTTCAAATTTTTTACCTAATTTGTCTTTCGTTTGTTTTTATAATAGGTACAAGGAAATTAAACTTTGACATGTTATAAACAATAGCACTTACGATTCATTTTGTATGATTAGGTTTAGCCTAGGAAGAATTTGATCAGAAGACAAAGGAGCAAAGCGAAATTTCGTGCAACGCGATTGTACTGCAGGGATTATTTTGCTCAGAAAGTTGCATATAAGGCAGAATCTGACATTTTCAGTGTATTTTTCTATAACTGAAATTGGCAAGCACTAATATATTATCTTTGTTAAATTTTATATATATGATTACTTCTCCTTAAAGCATTTTGCGCGTCATTGGTCATGGCATCAGCCTCATCTAAAATAATTAATTTAAAAGCACCACTGAAAATAGTCCTAGTAGAAGCGAAATTTAATATTTGCCCACGAACTATATTAATCCCTCTGTCATCAGAAGCATTTAATTCGAGAACCATGGATTTGAATTGCGTGGGGGAATACAACCGTTTTACACACGCCAAAATCGTACTGGTTTTCCCAGTCCCGGGAGGTCCATAAAATAACAAATGCGGCAGGTTGCCACCATCAACTAATTTGCTAACTAAACAAAATAAAATTAATTTAAAATAGTGCTTCATTTAGCTAACTTACTTGTTGAAACAATTTCAGAGTGCGACACTAAATCGTCTAAGGTTTGAGGTCGATATTTTTCTACCCTAAAAATCTGGTTTTATGAAAACTAAAATTTTGTAGAAAAAAAATATACCATGGGAGAGGAATGTCAGACTTTTCACTTTGCACTACTGCGTTATTCATTTCGAAATAATATTTAGCAAAACTTCTTCCATAAAATTATAAATTACTTACTTCTTGTAAGCTACGCTAAACCAACAGTAACATTGGAAAAAAAATCGCTTTTTCTTCGCAGATCGATCTTTTTCCTTTCGATATCTTTTCTTTTAATCGATTTATTTACGTTAATAAAAGATCGATAAAAATCAAAGATTAGAAAGGAGAAATATCGAAAAATTCGAATTAGTTTTATATGATATTTTAAGGTCGGTACTACCAGAAACTATTATTCATACAAAAAAACCTGAACATTTTATTTTTTAGTTTCAGGTTTTACAAATTCTATTTTTCAGTTTTGTAGATGGGAAATTTTTACTTTTCAGTTTTTAAAAAAAATATAGTGACAATTAAAAAATATATGAATATATTCAAATAGGTACAAAAACCAAATATTAAATTAAATAGAAAATTTAATGAAAAGCGTATTATGAAAAATAAAAGCACAAACACAAATACATATGTTTTGTCAAAAGTACAGATAACCACATACTATAATAAGTGTATATATGTAATTCAAAAATTTACCAAAAATTTAAAACTTTTCAAAATCTTTAAATTATTCAGTTCATATGATTTGAAATGTTGAAAATCATTATTTTTAAAAGGACACTGTTTTTTTTTATTATTAAAAGCATTGACTGCTTTAACATGTACATACTTTGTCATAGTACGTGCAGACACTTTCACATAGATATTTGTTTTTTATGAACAAAATTGTAATAAATTCAATGAAAAAACCAAAGTACATATATCTACTATTAAGTAGTTCGACTCTCCGCTTACATCACACTAATGCAATCACTCACCAATATTTGTATACAAAAAATTCCCTTAGTTAAAAGAGTTAAGCAGTATCCTTCTTATTTTCATTTTTATACACATAAGAATTTTTGGGAGCGGGAAAGAGTACGCAATAGATGTCAACCTGTTTTTTTATAATGTATTTTGAAAGGCGACACTTTATTATTTGCTCGTATAATAAAGTATAGGGAAAAATGTTAAGAATTTTAAAAGCGACACAATAATTTCTGTAATTCATTCCAGTACAAGGTGGCAAAAAAGGTGTATTCATATTATAAAAGCGAAGCGGGAAAAAGGTGTTTAAAAAAAATTATTATAATTTATATGAAAAATAATAAAAATAAATTTTAAAAAGACGTATAATATTAAAAAAAATTTTAGGTAGTTGTGAAAAAAAATTTTTTTATAATAATGGGTAAACATTATTTGAAGTGTTTGGGATGTAATATTGTGTGTGAGGCAAAAAAGCCGACACGAAAATTTCATTTGTTGCCATAAGATGTGGAGAGGTAAATATGTACTTTTGAAAATATTTTAAATTTTTAGTGTTAAGCATTTGTAATTAATAATTATTATTAATAAATAAAATAAATAAATTATCTTTAAATTTTTTATTTTTATTTCAATCTTAATAAATTTAAAACATATTTCCTATGAATCGGTAATGATTAATACTGATTTGATAAAGTATTAATCAGTACGCATACACCTTTTTTTCTTTATAAATTACTTTACTTCTATGTCACTACCTGATACTGTGAATCTACTACACCAGGTACACGCATGTGCACATTCATACATGAAATTTCAAACTCTTTTGCTTTCATACATTCGAATTTTTTACCTAAATTTTATAAAATGAAAAATAAATTTTGTTATTATCAAAATAAAAATAACAAAATTTTTACCTAACTTAATTTAATTTTATTTTAGTTCAGAGTTTTTGATACACTCGTTTGTTTACAATATTTTGTTTCTTTCTTGCCTACATAACTCTTATTACCATCTATTTCTAAAAAAAAATGGAATATTTTAAGAATTTGGAAGCAAGATCCAAATGAAAACTAACGGAATGGAACGAGTCGAATTACTTATTAGTAGGTATACTTTGGACAAAACTCAATCGACGTTTCTTTGTTTTTATTATTTTTTTTTTTTTTGCTTTCCTCTAATAATTTTTCGTATATCATATTTCCAAACAAAATTTATTGCTTGAACTAATGTCTTTATATCTAACAAGTCCCAATCAAAGTATATCTACTAACAAGTAGTTCGACTCTCCGTTTGCATCACACTAATGTAATCACTCACCAATATTTGTATACAAAAAATTCCCTTAGTTAAAAGAGTTAAGCAGTATACCTTCTTATTTTCATTTTTATACACATAAGAATTTTTGGGAGAGGGAAAGAGTACGCAATAGATGTCAACCTGTTTTTTTATAATGTATTTTGAAAGGCGACACTTTATTATTTGCTCGTATAATAAAGTATAATGAAAAATGTTAAGAATTTTAAAAGCGACACAATAATTTCTGTAATTCATTCCAGTACAAGGTGGCAAAAAAGGTGTATTCATATTATAAAAGCGAAGCGGAAAAAAAGTGTTTAAAAAAATTATTATAATTTATATAATATAATTTTTACAAATAATAAAAATAAATTTTGAAAAGACGTACAATAGTAAAAAAAAATTTAAATAGTTGTGAAAAAAATATTTTTTTTATAAAAATGGGTAAACATTATTTGAAGTGTTTGGGATGAAAAAAAGCCGACACGAAAATTTCATTTGTTGCCATAAGATGTGAAGAGGTAAATATGTACTTTTGAAAATATTTTAAATATTTAGTGTTAGGCATTTGTAATTAATAAATAAAATTTATAAATTATCTTTAAATTTTTTATTTTTATTTCAATCTAAATAAATATAGAATATATTTCCCATGAATAATATATTTCCCAGTAATAATTATATTTCATAAAGTAATCAGTATGCATACACCTTTTTTTCTTTATAAATTACTTTATTTCTATGTCACTACCTGATACTGTGCAGATTTACTGTATCAGGTACATGCATGTGTACATTCATACATGAAATTTCAAACTCTTTTGCTTTCATACATTCGAATTTTTTACCTAAGTTTTATAAAATGAAAAATAAATTTTATTATTATCAAAATAAAAATAACAAAATTTTTACCTAACTTAATTTAATTCTATTTCAGTTCCATGTTTTTGATACACTCATTTGTTTACAATATTTTGTTTCTTTCTTACCTACACAACTCTTATTACCATCTATTTCTAAAAAAAAATGGAATATTTTAAGAATTTGGAAGCAAGATGCAAATGAAAACTAACAAAATGGAACGAGTCGAACTACTTGTTAGTAGATATACTTTGGTCCCAATACTCAATTTTTTTTACGAAATATTACGAATTTTTGGCTTCGTTGCTGGATCGTGTCATATTTTTTATTATTTTTTTCTTTTTTTTAAGTAAAAAAGAGTTTAATATTTTAAAAAATCTCAGGATATTATACACATTTTTTAAAAAGCTTCCCATTTAAATTCTATTGCACGAAAAAGAAAGAAAGGTAGGAGAAAAGAAAAAATGAAAAAAAATTTCATGTTCATATTTCAGTATGGTTTCAAATGTTAATTACGAAGGATGTATGATTTTTTATGCACATTTTGTATTTCCCAATAAAGTAAGTTGAATAGTGTCGGCTAACAAAAATGTTAATAAAAGTAATATAGGTTGACACATTTCAACAATTTGAATTATCTCATTTCGGTTATTTATACGTTACTTATAAAATTGTTTCAAATAATTTCAGTTAGTTTTTAAGTTATTAAAAATAAATATGTATGTGTCTACTTCCAATAAATTTTTTTTAAATAATTATTTTAAAACTATTTCAAACATGTTATATTGAGTGCTTCAAAAAATTTGCTGTGCTCTTTTTTCATATTTCATTAGCAGGTAAACAAGAGCAATCTATTTATAAAATGTCCCTGCATGTGTATGTATGACCTATCTTAATTCTAAACGGAAAGAAGATTACATAAAGAACAAAAATTTTAAAATACCTGTTATTTTACAGTCGGAATTTTTGAGTCATTTGGTAAAATACCATTTATTTCAAAAACAAAAAAATATTCAAATCCGGTCATAAAAATTTTTTCCAAACATTTTAAATATTTTTTTTTCTTAGGTAATTGATATATATGATAGTAAGTTTTTAATATTTTTTCGAATAAAAATAGAGGTAAAATTTTGAACTTTATATAAAATTTGTATTTAATAAATAATATTTGATTGTATTTTAGATATTATTTTCTAATTCCCTCTTCAAATTTTTTCTTTACTATGTATTTTATCAATATTTAAGAATTATCTTTCATTAATTATATTTTCAACTTGACACCACAGTGACTCCCCATATCTTGAGTTAACTTACCCTATGAGAAAAAAAAGCTGTTCACTTAAAAATAATGAAATGCTTTCAGTAACATATAAAACATTGAAGGCGAAGGTTGTGCTTGTTGTTTTTCCGCTGTTTCAAGAATTTTAAAAAAATTCTGAATGAAAATATTAACATATTTTTTTTTATTTTTCAAATATATTTTCTAAATTTTACCTGCTTTATAATAAGTGTGAATTTATTTTAATATTTGTTCTCAAAAAATAGCCACTTCGATTTAAAAAAACCCATATAAAATAAGGTCGTGCTTTCAAGTTATAAAGACATTAGAGTTAGATATAAAGACATTACTTGAACAATTACATTAATGTGAACGAACGACCCCTTTAAAATCGTTCATGTTGCATTTTATAATTTCTTTTTTTATTATTGTTTTTGCATTATGTTTAAACCTAATATCATAGCAATGCATAATGAGTAATGAAATGATTAACGATATACTAAGTAATTCAAATATTTCAAAATTATTATAAGTGTTATTTTAAAGATTAGGTCAATAAAGCGACCAGTCGATCGAGTGAAAGTTAAACCGTTTATCTTTTTATTCAATTTTATTATTTTATTCTGTGCAGCGCTTTTGTACTCGTACATATTATGAAATTTAAGCTTTCTTTCTTCAAGGGCGCAGAAATTTTGCAAATAGAAAACCATAAGCAATTATTTCCAAAATTTTTGAAGACTCCTAAAAAAACTGAAATATAAATAAATGAAGGACAAAATGACCCACACCATTTGCATTAAATTCATCAACATCATTAAAATCCTCAAAATAT